CGGCACAAGCCAGGCTGATGGCTGCTAGCACAGCAGTGGTGGCAGGAGCTTCTCCTGCCTCCTCAGCAGCGCTAAGGATCTCCAACTGCAGCTTAGGTCTGCTCCCTGCTGGCAAGAGGACATCCCCCGAGGGCTGCCGGCCTGCCAGAAGGATGTCTGACTGCCAGCTTGGGCCTGATCCCTCAGGGAGCGGGCCTAAGCCAGCAGGTGGACATCCTCTGATGGGGTCCCAGACTGCAAGAGGGCATAGGCCGGGCTGAGGGAGCCCCCCAAGTGCATGAATTTCGTGCACCCGGCCTCTAGTAGAATATATAAGGAATCCACAGGATTCTTCACATGTGTGGATGAAAGGGGATTTTTACCTCAGGTAACTTCATAGGATGATATGATCATGAATTCCTAACTGGGAAAGTCATGATAGGTAGTCATGCCCCACCATATAACTTCTTTAGTGAAAGGTTTTTAAGCAAATTCTCTTCATTGTTTTTGTGCATCTAGGTTAACACACCTTTGAAATAACCCTGGAAGGTATAACCTCCCTCCAGAGAGCACATATTTTGTTACTTATAGTGTTATCTAATCCTCATCCTGTTTTCTCCCACCTTCACCTACTCTTCTTTACTTCCCTCTATAACTTCAAATGTATAAGAAAAACTGAAAAACTGTTTTTCTCAGAAGCATTTGAAATCTTGGTTCCCAGCAATTGTCATCAGTGTGGCTCAAATAAACTTTTATAAAAGCTCTCTGCAGGTTTGAATGTTTCTTATGTCGACATAGATAAGGAATGGGCACATTTGAAAAATCATCAAACAGAACTTTAAAAAACTGCTTTAGGACATTTCTGGCCAAAGATTAAAACAGACTCCCATTTCCTTATAAAAATTCTAGGCTAAAAAATAAGTTCATTTTGTAAAATAGTGAAAGGTTCAGAACACAAAAAGTCAGGTATCAGTCAAAAGAGTTTTTCAAAAAAGTGTATTTTCTAGTTGAGAAAGTTCAGACCAAAAAAAGGGGGGCTGTATAAAGTTAAATGCCTTTAAGAAATGACCTGGTCATTGTTTCCCTTGAGATGAATTGTACCCCTCTCTTACATCTAACATTGTTAGGGGCAGAAATAGAATACTGGGGACTATCTACAATTAAAAAGTATTAATCATGCTCTGTTGGTGATGGTTCTGTTCTGATTAGAGAAAGAACATTCTACCCTGGTTGAGAGTTGTATGCCCTGGGACATGGGAGCTAACATTGGGAATGCAGTCCATCCTCCTTTCTCAAGAACTGCCTATCATTATGGAAAGATTTACAACTTCGTAGCTGAAACAATCTAGTTTCAGATGTGCCCACCTTCTGCAACCTCCCCCACTCCAGCCCGCATAACTTGTAATCTGTAATGATTATACCGTGCCTACTTTCCATGCCTGTAATTCTTACTTTTCCACATAATTTTTGTCCTTCTACCCAATATAAGCAACTGGCTTATGGAGAGACAGAGCAGACTTTTGTGAATGACCTGCTGCCCTCCTATACTGCCAGCACTATTGGAATAAACACTCATATATGATTCAACCCTATTTCTGCTTAATTGGCTGAAGTAGTGACAGGTAGCCCAGACCCCTTGGTTGTCGGATTACATAATCTGGCAAATCTGGCGACTTTGGTGGATACAAGCAGGGAGTCCTCTTGGGTGAGTACCGGGGATCCAGCTTGCTGCCTGGACTGGGGGTTCCTGAGGCTGAGTCCTGGACTCTTTTACTTGCAGCACTGCCAGGAATTTTCCTGTTGTCAGTCCCAGCCTCAGCAATCCCCATCATCTCACCTAAAACTTAAATTGAATGAAGCTTTCTGTAACTCTGTAATGGGAAGTCAGTTGTCTGTTGCCCCCATTGGGGTGAGCCTAATCAACTCCTGGTTGCAAGCGGCCTCTCAAGTTCCTTGCCTTTTCTCCACACCCAGGCCTGACCAGCTTAGGTTCCAGACAAGGTCCTGAATGATGCAGGGCTTCTGTCTGGTATTCCGTCTAGCTGTGCACGGTAAGGTGTGGTTGTGCATGGAAAGCCACAAATGATTGTCTGTCTGTTGTAAATACAGGTATTATATATTAGGGTGG